TTTTTCGCGGGATCGTACTTTAATTTAAGTGGAATAGTTTCAACAAGTTGGTAATTAGGTTTTGGAGGAAGCATGTTTAGTGAATTTTTGAAGTCTAAAAAAGAAATGAATTAAAGTATAAAATTGATTGTGATCTTCACAATAATAATGACAGGGCTTCACAAGGATGGAAAACAAAGCCACACTCCATTGTGTAACTAGTACAATTGTGGTGTAGATCATTTTCTTTCTATTTTTGGTAGAAGTCTTCAGAATTGTGCAATAATGATAATAATAATAATAATTACATATTGATAAAATATATACAAATAGTGTGTGGGCATACATAACGCCACAGAATAATCTCAGGTTTACAAATGGAATATACTTTTTGTTTTTAGATGTTTGCCGTGATTATATTTATTATTATATATTGTTATGTTATGAGGCTAACAACTCGGAGTGTTACGTAATTTTTTTTTTATCAACAGTATCATAGTGAAATTCGTGTTACCTACACTCTACCCTTAAAAGATGACTAATTGGTTTTTCTACCCGAGAATCAACAAATTGATGAAATTTATAATGCTCAAGCACAATATGTGTTTACATGAACGATTATTTAAAGATTCTATCTTAACCATGTGAAAAAAAAAAATCCCCACAAGAAATGCCACTCAAACTAACCATTTAGTTGTCCTTTTTTTTTTTTTTGGTAAAAAAAAAATATATAAATTTCAATTTTTAATTAAACGTGCGGTAAGACATAAATTGATTAGTTTTTTTTTTTTTTTTTAGATAATAAAAATTCTCAATTGCAAATCAAATCTCTTTGTTATTCTATCATAACCTATATGATAATGAAAAGTAAAAAACAAAAAGGTCAATAAAAATTCCAATCTTTTGAATTTATCGTTTTATAATTTATTAATATTAAATATTATAATGTCTCAAACCTACACACGGGCTTATAAAAAAATGTGCTTTCTAATTAGTTGTAAAACAAATATTGATTAAAATTCAAGAAAAAAAACTGAGAAATTATCCTGGCTACCTTATAAGAATCATGGACGTGTATTCAATATTTATACTTTGTGTCTTGAGGAGAGGCCATATAGAAAGCTTGTTCAAGATTGAACAAAAAATATAAGTCAGAAGAGTGATTAACATGTGTGAAGGAGCAAATTCACACCAAAAAATCTGTTCACAATTTTTCCGTTTTCTAAATTTTAGCTTGTCAACATATGCCATATGTATTGAGTTACATATAAGAAATAGGATAGACGCAATTAAAAAACATTCATTTATTTTCAAATCTAATAACGAACGGGGGAGCTACCTGGATCACTATCTGCATAAGCAGCTGTAATTCCTTTTTTGTTTATCTTTTTGTGGTGTAATGGGTGTGGTGGAAGAACACCGGAGAGATTGGACACTTTCATATCTGAATCACTATGTTCATCTTGTAGTCTATAGATGATTTCGACGACTTCCACCAACCAACACTGTTAATCAAGAAGATAAGTTAATTGTAAAATTCAGCAGAGCAAACAATATCAGTCAAAGGAAAGTTCATTTCCCCGAGATCCCACAAGATAACAACAAAATCAAAAAAATATTTCCATTCTTCCTCGAAACAAGTAGGAATGATTGTCTTGTGTGTTCGCTCGTATTGCAGAATGCCGTGAGATGGAACATGCATCCTCCATAACTCAATTCGGTTGTCTATGAAATGCAAAGATTAAAACAATAATATATCACGGACAAAATCTCGATAAACACCTACCATAAGTATGTAGGGAAAACACGCTCATTCTTGAGAACGTTTCGCACGAAGCTCCTCGAAATCGTTCTCCGATCTCTTCCAGCATATATGCATTGCCTATTGGCAATTTGCAACAACCATCCCACGTTGATCGAGGGAGATCTTTATCGCCATACCCACCACTTATCTCCAAATGTCCGACTTCTATAGAAGATTTCTTTAATCGCACGGAAAAGACACCATCTGCTTTTTGTTCAAATGAGGTGACACACTTGCGCCTTTCGCGGCATGCTTTAACAGAAGACAAGATTATTTCTCCTCTTAAGTAGAGGGTATCAAGATTTGCAAATTCATAAGTAACTAAATATCACAAAAACTGTCACAAATGAAGACCAAATTCGCTCACATGTGATAATGCAAATTCTTTTCTAAGCCAAAAAGCATACTTTTCAAGGAAAGGTGAATAACGTAACCACCGTAGTCTGATTCTGATATATTTGATTGTTGCATGATTGAATATTCCGGAAAGACATCCTGATGACTATGAGAAAAGGAAGAAATTTCAGTTTATGGAAAACCAAATACGGTCATAACGAATAAATAATACTTACAATATTGATAGAAGGCTTGTAATATCTAGGGGTTAGAAGAATACGTAATAGTGACCACTGGGGTTGGGGCGGTTCAAAAAAAACTGGTTCGAATCGCGGTTTAGTGAAACTAACTTCTTATTGGATAAATCATATGGGTATCACAAATGTATTTTTTTTTTATAATAATAATAAATATATTAAAGAAAGAAATGTATTAAAAACCAAAACTATTTTCCTATATTGTTTGTAACCAGCTTTTCATACACAGGCATGCCCGTGCAGTTTCTGGCAACAAACGATTTCGTGTTTTACTGATCGTATACCCGGCGATTGAGAATGTTTGCTCTGAAAAGTAATCTTGTGCTATATTGCTTAGGATTGGGTATTCCTTGACATGTGCCTTCCACCATAGAAGAGGATCAGTTTCTTCATCTATTTGTAGTGCGAAATAACGGTCTAATTCTGATCCCGTGGATACTGAAGAAGTTCGCTGTGGCATTATCATCCTGGTCGAGCTGAGTGAAATATCTTCTAGTGGAAAATGCTGACATTCTTATCGGAGACGATGTATTTGTAGAGTGCACTTTATATGTTTCATAAATGTTTTGGACATATTTACGAGCACTTTGCGTGTATTCTTCAGTGAAAATAGACAGCTTAATTCGGGGATCTAGAATTGCTGAAGTAATTGAGGAATTATCCATGATGTTCTAGTGTTCCATGTCGCAATCCAAGAAAGGAAACCAAAATGGTCGCAAAGGTGGTTGCAACCAGGTGTCACAAACCATTTTTATATGTCGCAAATATGGTTGCAACCATCACCAAGAATTGCGACCAGCATCTATATGATGTTCCAATACTCTCCAATTTTTTGATTTATCGAAGCTGCTATGTAAAATAAATTTTTTTTGAATATTTATCTAGGTGCCTCTAAGGTTGCTTGCCGAACTTCCTCCAGAAATCAATCAGCAGGGTTTCGGCAGGTTACACATTAATTGTTTATTAGAGTTTCGGCAGAGTTTTGCATTTTGAGGTTTTGCCATTTCGGCATAGTTTCAACAGGATTTTTGATAAGATTTAGTATAGTTTTGCCATGGTTTCAGCAATTACTAAGGAGGTTTTGCCCACAACCTTAACCAATAATTTTTGGGCAAATTTGAGGATGATTCTGGCCAAAATTATCATTAAAGATAATATAAAATTTTTATTTATATCAGTCAGTTATCAGAACATAAAATTTGATTTTTTTAATTGAATCTTCTTTAAAAGCTATGCATTTATCACTTAAGATACTTTTATAATTTGAAAAGGACCTTTCCGCATCAACGCCAGATATATACAACCAAATATATTTTAATGCAATTGAACTTAGTGTTTGATCGCATAATTTGGAAAAAAAACCTCCCATAATCCTGGATACCCTACTTATTAGCTAGTTTTCCCTTTGTTAGTGCAGTCAGAATTTTTTCAAATCGATTCTGGAAAAATTAGAACCTCATGTTTATCAATTCATACAACCAGCTGGGAAAGTCGATTTCCTATGCGTGCATAATTTTTAATTTACTTAATTCGCAATCCTTTTAAGAAGGAAAGATCTACAATGATTTTATGTGATAAATAGTAAGGGTAAAATCCATAATATCTATATTTTTGTTAAATATGACTAACTTTGTATAGGTTCTTATTGATGATTATTTATTAAAAATTTTTCCTATTATTTTATGATTAAAATACTAATAGAACTCCTATATTTACACATGAAAAGTGTTATTGTGACATATAAAATAACATGCGGTTTCCCTACCCACTTCTTTCATTTATATTTATTTGTTTCTTGTTAATTAGTAATTCGTTGCAACCAGTTACAAATGTACAAAGAAATATAGAGATCGTATCTTTTTAAAATTTTACCTGTGCATGATAGTATGGCAGTTTCCTTGAAATGTATGGAAACGTCATCATTTCAATCTTCACGCAAAAGAATATGTATGTATGTATGTATGTATGTATGTATGTATATTAGATTAAATAAGTTTGATTTGATTTCTTTCTTATCATTATGTTAATAAAGTCTTTATGTCCGGATCCTTGACAAGTAGTTATGAATAATAATTTCATTTGTTAGTTATGTGTGTATTTATATTTGTAATAGTAGTAACAATCATTATAAAACTAAAAGCGTAGAATAATTAATAAAAAAAGTTGCCTTTTGCACCATACACATATTAAGTTATTTTACCCATAACCTCGCAATAACAAAAAACAGCTTGAACAATAATAATGGTCTGTTTTTTGATATCCAAATGTTTGTTCTACAAAAAATGCAGTCATGTTACAGTAACGGTATGAAGCGAATTGGTGAATCACTATCAAAATTCTTTAAAAGGATATCTATCACATTGTGACAATCTTGAAATAAATGTTGCGTGACTATATAAATTTTTTTAATAAATCATTATTATTATGTTTATGATTATACTTATATCTAACTTCCCAATCTGAGGGCGAGAGTCCACTAATAATATCCTGATTACTACCATTTGTAATTTGGAACAAGTTCTTCTGGCATTGCCCTTCAATTAATTTGCCCTGGATGAAGCTCTTATGGAGGAGGTCCTATATAAGAGAAGTTCGTCGTCTGCATTTTCTGTTTACCAACCAGAATGCTCGATTATTTACAATTGAAAGGAATTCTGTTTGGGTACCTTATATCTTCGGAGTTGTCATCGTCTGGGCTATCATATATATATTGATTAAGATTTCAAATGGTATTACTACATCTCTCTTCTTTTTGTAATATATTGACTGTTTCTTTCCGTGGGTTCCTTTTATTGGCTCTGTAATTCCCTTTTTCTTATATCGTTTTTATATAGTTAATTATTAATATAATGTAATATAATTAATTAAATGGTCAAATAATAAATAAAATAGATAAATTAATAAAATTGCTGGTATATATATATATATATTGGTTTCCCTTGATTATAATTGTTCATCCTTTTCCATTAAGTTACTATAGATTTATCAAACAATTATAGCATGGATAAAGGAACAATTTCTCTGGAATCAACCCAAACCTCAAATACTATCCCGATTTGTATATGTAATCATGAGGAGGATATCAATTGCCAGATAATCGGTGAATAATCAGCGGATACAACCCCTAATATAATATAGTGGATGGATATATTCCCATTTCTTATTATTATACCTTTAGAGGTTGGAATCGTCCAAAAAAAATCCTTAGTCGACTACTAGTTGGTCAAAATTTCTTTAGTCGACTAAATTTTTTTAATAATAACATTTCTAATTTGCAAATTACGAATTAATTTCCATTTGAATCTTTCACTTTTTCAAAATACTTCTACACAAAACCATGTGTTACGGTTCGTTTTTTTAAAGGTCTTCTGGAACCACTGCTTAAATCATTGGAACTCGAAGCCAATGAGCTATTGGACCTTGTATCGAAAGCGTTTATTAGTTCACACGTAAAATTATCATCATCAACAACAACACCACCATTGTCGTCATCATCATATTGATGGTATTGATACTCTTCCGCATAGTAATTTTCCATTTTGAATGATAAAACACAAAAATCGTAATTGGTCAGACAATAATAGTCGACTATTAGTTGTTCAAAAAAAAAAAAATTTAGTTGACTAAAATAGTCGACTATTTAGTCGACTATTTTAGTCGATTCCAGCCTCTATATACCTTAAACGGTCAGAGTATTCTTCTTTAATGGCATTCTGTCAAATTGATGATCTGCAAAGTAAAAATAATCAATCGACCAACTTTTAAAGAAGGTTTTACAAAAACTACAATAACAATGACCAAATTCTTATTTATAGATCAATTGACTGAATCCCAAGGATCATTTTCACATTATAAAGTAATACCATTAGAGGAAGTTTTATATATAGAAATAAAATTTCGGGCGAAAACTGTTTAAGAGATAGTTCTTCATCATTTATGGAATGTTCCTTTGAAATCTTTTTTCTAAAATTAAATATAATTATCTCAAATAGAAGCAATACATTAAAAGCAGTAGCAATAGCACAAGGATGAAAGTGAAATAGTAATAATAATCCAAATTTGATTTTGTCACGTTTCACAACTAATAAATTCAGCAATTCGATATATATACATGGTTTACAATTGTGTTTTCAGCCAACGAAAATTAATTCGTGACATCTAGTGACCTCACATTATTGTTTGCAAGTAAAATAAACAATAATATATTAATATTTAATGTATAAATATGAATTTAGAAAGGAGTTTTCTTAATATACTTTTTTATAATTAATTATTTTTTTTTTTAAAAAACAAAATTTTTTTTTTTAATATACGTAGACATATATATATATAATGGATTTTATATATAAAAGATTATTTAACAACAATAATACTTGGTCATATCAAACAGTTAATAATAATAATATAATACCCTCAACATTAACTTCTTCTTTACCTTTGTCGTCGACCAAAAAAACTGTAAAATATTTAAATGGTCGTAAAAAAACATACATACTACTGCTTTTCGTTGCCTCCTCAATAATACTATTGTTACTTATTTCGTATTCAAATATTGAAAGTTATCATAGAGACATCTCAACACTTGATGAAACTGATTATCTTGATGGAGACAGTTCTATTCCAATATGGCAAAATGCTAGTTGCAATATACCTGATTTACCATATTTATTGGGAAATTATACTACTTTTATTGATATTAGAAGAGGTAATTGCATTATTATTATTATTATTATTATTATATCTATTTGCACACACTAATCGAACTTCTTTTTTCATTATTGCAAGGACCGGGAATTGGTCATATTGTATATGATGAAAAAACAAATACGCAATATATAAATGTCACTGGTTGTTCAAATAAGTCAACCTTTCAATACCATTATAAATCAATGAATTATTCTTGGGCAGTTTGGAATCAAGAGAAAGATGGCTTATTTAAAATGGACGAAAAATATGTATTTTTACAATGTGATGACAAAGCAAATGCCACCATGTTTAGAAAAGAAATCAAAACAATTGATGCTACAGTTAATGAAAAACTTGAAAGTGAGTAATTAATCAATCAATCAATTAATTTTAAATATAATTAATCTTTAAAATGAATACTTATTTTTGTAGGTCGTACAGCTCCAACTATTCCTGGTGATCCAGATCACCCCTCGCCATTGATTGATGATGTTGTGATGTTTTTATTAGATGCTGAGACCAGAGAAAAATTTAAACAAGAATTCACACAAATCATGGAATTTTTCAATAATTCAGAGAAATATACAGGTGGTACACATAAATGGTTTTCTATGGAAAGATACAATGTGATGGGTTGGAATTCTGCCCCAAATAAACCATATATTTATGGTGGTCAAAGCTTACCAGATCTAGAAGATGGTCATAATGCAAATTGGTTATGGGATGTTTATGAAGAACAGGGTTTTGTGACTGCTCATTCTGATGGTTCTTGTGGTGGTTTTGTCGAACCATTGGATTGGGACATGGGAGATATGACTCATTGGTATATTGAAGAGAAATTGAGGGATGGGTATAAGAGAATTCAACCTGGTTACCATCAATTCCCAACTGATTCAATATGTGACAATTTCAATCTAATAAGAGAAACTGATGAAAAAACTCGATTCAATGAATCTTGTGTATTCTTAAATGGAACAAGTGAAATGACTTGGATGCAAGGTTATACCTTTGGCTCTGGTCCTTATTGTATGGGGCATAAAACTATTTCACAACATACACTTGATTGGGTTGAAGAATTCTTAAATGTTTACAAAGGTAAAAAACGTTATGTATCAGCAACATTTCTAGACACTCATATTGATGGGCAATACCATACAGAATTTGGTAGTAATATTAGATCATTAATTGAGAAAATGATTGTTGGCAACAAACAAACTGGTGAAGGTCCACTACTCTCAAAAAATAGGTAATGCTGAATTTTTTTTGAAAAAAATTAATATTAATTCTATCTCTCTCTCTCTCTCTATATATCTTTTCTAACTTACAAATCTCTTCACTTACTCAAAAAAAATCACTAAATAGCGCAATAATTATTCATAGTGATCATGGACTCCATTATAGTTCAGAGTATACATTTTTCGAAGGATATTTACATCATAAACAACCTACAATGATGATGTTATTACCAAACCAACTGCTTGATTCACATCCCAATTTTGGTTATTCTCTCAAAGAAAATCAATATCGCCTTTCAACTCATATGGATTTACATCAAACATTATTACATTTAGCATATGGAGGTGGTGGTGAAAAATATATGCCAAGGGATTTGAAATCCACAACTTTAGCTGATTATTTAGAATATAACAAATATATAAATAAATTTTTATCAAGCTCCACTTTCAGGAAAATAACAAATAATCCTGATGCTCATGATGTTAAGACCAAAGCACAAATTTATGGTCAGTCATTCCTCACCCCAATGTATAAATTGCGCACTTGTGATACATTGAATATACCACGTGAGTTTTGTCCATGCATGGAATTTCAGCAAATTGATTATCAGAATGTGGATCAAAAGAAATTAGTTGATATGGCAATGTTCAAGGCAACAATTTACATCAATGAATTCCTAAAGAGCAATCAGTATGACAGTGTGTGTCAGTTGTTTAATTATGAAAGTGACAATAACTCAAATAACACAATGAAATTTGATAGTGGATTTTATAATCCACATACATGGGCAGAATATGAGTTATATCGAATAACTGTCTCCATCAAAAATTTCAAAGCATTATTATCCATTCAAACCACAAAAAATATTTTATTATGGTCAGCACCTGATAGTACTTCGCAGATTGAAATTGCCCAAGAAACAAGATTTGCTGATGAATGGGAAAAATGTCGACCTAGACTAAGAGAAAAATTGAATCAATCTGCTGATAAAGTTGAGAATGAAATAGAAAAAATTGCAAGACAATTTTGTTTTTGTTCAAACGATTTTAACTTATAGTTATGAGTCAGAGAAATGCCAATCAATTTATTATATTAAATGATTGACAAAAAAATCCAAAAATAATATGTATATAGTAGTAATATTAATTTTTGAAAAAAAATAGATAATAATTTAATTTTTTATAATATGATTTTTTATCATAAACCAAAATAATAGAGTTCATGAATCAATTTTTATTGATATGCATTTTGAATTTAAATTCTAATTATATATTACAAAATTTTATGCGAGTAAAATTGTAAAAAGCTCTCTATTAGTTTAAAGAGCATCAAAAAGTGAATCTAAAACATAAATTTTTATTTGAATATAACATATAGTTTAAGAGTTATTTTGAGTTTTGTATAGTGCAGGACACCTAGTCCCACAACTTTTATTGGTCTTGTATATCCTTTAGTATAGTGTTGTCAAAATTGCCAGTCCAATCATTTTATTGGACTCTGGACCATTTGGACCGGTCCAGTCCAATAAGTCCAGTCCAATTGGCGCAGTAAAAAAGTGGCTTAGTTGTACATTGGACCAGTCCAATTGGTATTGGACTGGACTTGTTGGACAGGACTGGACTTATTGGACAGGACTAGACTTTATTTGGACTTTGTCATACAAAAGATAAAAAATTCTCTCAAATAATTTTATTACTGTAAAGAATGTAATCACATACAATTTATTACTCTTTCAATGCCTCGAGGAAGTAACCAATATAAAAAATACTTTCATGTTTTACCTGATAAACCAAATGGTTATAATCACTTGGGTATTTGCATTGCTTGTAAAAGCTCTAATATAAATAACAACGAATTGAAAATAACTTTAACTAAAAAAACTTGTTGTAATCATTTGTTGAATTGTAAATTTTCCGAAATAATTTTTCAAATGAGGAAGAATGGTTAAATTGGGTTGCTGATAATGATACAGAAACTATAATTGAAAATGAACTTTATGATAATGATGAAGGTTTTATTAATACATCATCTAATGAAATAAATAATTTACAAAATCCTTCTACTCCAAATAAAAAAAGACTCTTGGGTATGAATTTTAGTGTATTTATTTATTAAAAAAAAAATAAGATAATAATAATAACTTTTTTAAATATCATTAATAGATATTAATACAAATAGAAAGTCAAATGTAAAAAATATTCAATCATATCTTTCTCGTTCTATTAAAGGCAATGACGTGAAAAAATTTGAACAATTATTAATTCGCATGACAGTCTCCAATGGATTTTCTTTTCAATGGATAAATAATCCAGAAACAAAAGAACTCTTTTCTTGGTTAAACCCAACAATACAACTACCAGATCGTAGAACATTAGGTGGTAGAATTTTGAATGAAGAAGCAAATAAATTAAAAAAAGATTTAGAAATGATTGAACTTGGTGTGTCTGTTATTTTTGATGGTTGGACCAATGTCAGAAAACAAAAGATATGGGTACAATATTAGTAACATCATTTGGTCGTAATCTTATATGGAAAGCTGAAGATATTAGTACTGAAAGATCTCGATGGACTGATGTATATATTCTTATATTGAAAATATTATTGATGAATTTGCTGAACAGGGTATAAAAATGAATTGTTTAGTAACAGATTCAGCAGGTGAATACACAGCAGCTAGGTATGTCATTAATTTTTTTAATAAATTATTGAAAAAAAATAATAATAAATATATTTATATATTTAGGAAGCATCTTCGTAAAGCTTTTCATGAGAAGGTCTTCCTCCCCTGTTATGCTCATCAACTCAACTTGTGTGTTGGAGATTTGTTTAAAGAATCATCAAATTTTAGTAGAGTTTAAAGCTTAGCAATTGATGTTATTTCAACTTTTAGAAAAAGTACATATTTTATGGGTCAATTACACACTGAACAAGAATCAATTTACAGAGGAAAATATGTTCATTTATCACTACCTTGTGATTCATTTTTTCATAGTTATTTTAACTTGTTAAAAACAAAATCTGCACTTAAAGTAAGTCACCATTATACAATGTATTTCACTAATTAATATGATATATTGTAAATAGCTTATAATTTTATTTATCATAGTCTTTAGTAACTAAATTGAATCCAGAAGACACTTTTATTGCTAATGAAAATGAAGTTATCACATTACCAATAAGGATTTGTAATATTATTGAAAATGATAGTTGGTGGTGTGATCTAAGAGAACTTGTAAGATTACTACATCCATTTTGTGCAGCTCTAAATAAATTACAGAGGGATAAAGCACATTTAGATCATGTATTATATAGTTTTGGTAAAATTGTTCAAATGATACAAGAAATTCCATTGGAAGAATTTAAAAATCAAATGTTGATACGATTGCAAAATCGGTGGTTTTCATGGGAGCAGCCTTTATTATTAATATCTTTCTTATTAAACCCACAATACAAAATGACAAAATTCAATTCCAACAATGAGAAATTAACTCTTCCTAACTTGGGAAAATGGATCATATATTATTATGTTGTTTGGTTTGATGAAAGACCCAATAATATTCTTAATGAATTGGAAGATTTTGCAAAAGGAAAAGATCCCTATGATCCTGATATAGCGGAACAATTTAATGATGACCCACTAAAATATTGGAGTTATATGGGTGGTGGTACTAATAAAGAACTTCATAAAGTTGCAAAAAGAGTATTTTCAATAACAGTGATGACTGCTGCAGTTGAATGCTTGTTTTCTAATATGGGGCATTTACATTCAGACAGAAGAAATAGACTTGATGTAAGTAACTCAATTGAATATAATATATTGTTATTGTTTGTTACTGACTAATTTTATTAATATTTATTTAGCATAACAAGGTGTTATCAATGGGTCAATTAAGGAATGACATGAATTATAGAAGAAAAAAGACTGAGATTGATGAATCACAAAAAAAATTCCATTCCGAAAATTATGTTGCTCCAGTTGAGGAATCAGAAATACAAGAAAGTGAAATAAGCAATGAATCTTTTATAGGAGACATTGAAAATGAGGTTCAATGTAATACAGTGATGGGACGGTGGATGGAAATGCTGAATGATGAGGTATTAGAAGAGGAAGAAGAAGAATTAAATGAATTAGTAGGTCCAATAGGGTCAATTGAAAGAATCAAAAGGACTAGACACCCAGCTATTAATAGACAGAAAGGAAAATGGGAAATAGAAGAAATCTTTGAATATAATTTAGATGATCCTTCTTTTTATCAAGAATTATAAAATATATAATTTCTTTGTTATAATTTTTAAAAAATATTGTTAATAATAATAAAATTTTATCTGTCATCATTAATTTAAATGCTGAAATATAATTGGCTACCCCTTAGAATTGGTCCAAAGTCCAATAGATTTATTGGACTGAACTTATTGGACTGGTCCAATAAGTTCAGTCCTATAAGTCCAATTGCCAACACTGCAAATAATTGTTTAAACCCTTTCATTATTTTTTATCACTAGTAAGTAAGTTTATTTATTTTTGAGTTGGCTTTTTCTTGGTTCTATTTATCAACTATTTGATCAATTTTTGATTTATAATAGAGAGTTGATTTTTGTAAGTTTTATTGTGAAATAAGAAACCAAGCAAGAGCCAAATTAACAACCCATAAAAAAGTTCACAATTGAAAGTAAGCATTTTTTTAAAAAATGTTATTATGGATATAAATATTGTGTAAATATTTATTGATTATTTGTTTTTTTTTTAATGGTGAGTATTAGAGGATTTGTTATTTACCTAAAACTAAATGAATTGGTAATGTTTTTATAATGTTCCAATACAAGGTGGGATTATTTACCTTGTTTCAATTTCAATGAGGGAAAAACAAAGATTTTAAAACATATCCTTGAATGTAAAATTTGTTCAAACCAAAATGTTTTTTTATTGACAATAATAAGCACATTCGCATAAATGAGAATTTTCTTTATAGTAATAATTAGTAAAAAAAAATAGATCAATATTGTAATAAAATAATAGGATTATTTTTCTTCCAAGGATTTCCATTTTTTTTGTTGGGTAATAGTATATTTTCATTCTGTTTTCTTTTCCCAACATTTATTATTTCTCTTTCTTATTGGTAAATTTCATAAGTAATATTTTCTTTCCTTAAATAAGCTTCTAGTGTTTGAGTATCATTTATTTTGAAAATATAGGAGCAATTTTTTCTATGGTACTATAATTCTTGGGTTCCATGTAAATTAATTTCATATTAACTATTTTTGTCTAGCTATTGATCCCTGAAATCATTGGTAACACCAATGTTCACTTTGTCGCAAGCATGCCCCATTTTAGAGTAACTAGATGATGAAAAAATTCAACTATATATAGATAATAAAAACAATGAGATACAAAAAATTAGAAGAGAATAAACAAAAGAAAAGAAAAAAAAAGAGAAGAGCAAGCAAGAAAGCAATCAGTGATCAGGGAATAATCTTGCTAAACTAAAGCAGCAATTAAGACATTTAAATGAAAATAAGGAAAATATGAAAAATGTTATCCAGAAACTTCAGAATAAAGCTAACCAACTGTTCAAAGAAAAGTGAAGGAAGAGTAAGCTCAGCATTGAGTTATATTACTTATATCACGCATCCGATCTGTATTTAGAAAGATTTACATAATTATCTCATTCATTGTAAGGACCCTGAATACGCCACACTTTGTATTAGATGAACTGCGGACGAAGACCCGAAAACTATATTTGGCCCACACTATGATTGGCTGATTAGGGACAATTTTCCAAATTTGGCAAATAGTAACTTTTAACCCAGTTGCGGCAGTAAGAACCTTTCTATATGGTTTTCGGCCCCAATTAATCGTCTAAATATAGTAATTTATATGAACGATCGTATTCAGATCATTTGTTGCATTCTGCGGCGCAATGTGCGGGGAGTGTGTGCTAACCAAATTTGTATAGATGACGCAGACAGGTTTCTATATTTCTAATATTTCTATATCTGATTTTATAATACACATGTATTTTTCTATAATTAAAAAAAATTAAAAAATATAAATTGTGCGATATTTTTAATTAATTAGAAAATAAACTAAAATAAACTCATACATGACTAAAAAAAATAAAAACAATGAATGACTAATTAAATTTTTTTTTAAAAAATTACTTTATATTACTTTACATTACATGATAGAGAAAGATAAAAATAAAGAAACAGTTAATTGAATTTTTACAAATTCTCGTTTTCCAAATTTACATTCTGAATACATAAGATAATTGTAAATACACACAAATCACAATTTTTCTATACTAATAATAAATAATAACAATAATAATAATAATAAAAATAAAAAAATAAAACATATAATTAAAAAGAAAGAGAATAAAAATGCGATCCTATACAATACTTCTTGGAAAATTTATGCCACTGCTTGTGTTAGCAATTTTTGGATACACTTTTTATGTTTTTATATTTAGAATATGTGGTAAATTTTCAAAGTTATTACCATGATTAAAATTATTTTGTTCATTTAATTAATTAATTTGATTTTTTCTTTTTTACACGTAATATTTTATAGTTGATTCATTACTTGGAAAAATGAAAGTTGTTCAAGCTGGTAAAATTTTAATTAATTGATTTTATTATAATCAAATCTTTATTTGCTAATCGAATCTTCTATTCCATTCATTCATTCATTCATTCATTGTTTAGTTATATATTTGGTAACGTTTAATATATTATTTATAATGGCCTTATCCTCGTATATTAGAGTGATAAATAAAAATCCAGGAACACCAAAGGTAAAAATAATAAATTTTTTAATTTATCAAAGAAAGAAAGAAGGATCAAGAAAGAAAAAGAAAAAGTGATATATATATATATATATATATATATATAACTAATGGTTCCACGAAATTTTTTTTTTAGTTGCCACAATCGTTAACAAAAACTCAGTTACGACAACAACAAGAAGTTATTAATTCATCATCAACATCAACGTCATCTCATCCTCAATCATTAATACAACAACAACAACATCAATTACAATCATCGATTTATAAACCAAATCCAACATTAAAAACATTTCTACAAGAGCAAGAGCAAGAGCCACAACAACAACAAATATTAAATAAAAAAAAATCATCAACTAATAATAATAATCTTGCACCAACTTCATTACCGTTACCAACATCATATAATTATAATTTTAATCCTATAACAAATCCAAATAATTCTTCAAATGCTGATGCTTTACTATTACCAATGGAAAATGCTTTATTAAAACCAAAATCAAAAAGATCAACATCTTCACATTTATCACAAAATTTAATGCCACCTAACACTGTTAATACCAAAGCTCCAATCACCACAGCTACTACATCAATATCGATAACGCCTTCAATAACTTCTAAAGACAATAACAACAACCCTGGTATTATTAATAGTATTAACCTATCATTACCAATACACACTGACAATATTTATGTTCGTAAAAGAGATGGAAGACTAAGACGGTGTGATAGATGTAACGATGTGAAACCTGATAGATGTCATCATTGCTCAGAATGTGACAAATGTATATTAAGAATGGATCAGTAAGTAAATATTTATTATTGGAAGGAATTTATGAATTATGAATTATGAATTGCAACTAATAATTATGTTTATATATTATATAATATTTATTATTAAACAGTCACTGTCCTTGGTAAGTAATTTATTTCCTTATACTTAAATTTAAATTAAAATTAATCAACCATTTTATTTATTGATTTAAATATTCGAAATTGATTTTTTTCCAAATATCTAAAGGATAAATGGATGTGTGGGTTTTCATAATTACAAATTCTTTTACCTGTTCATAGTATATACCTCATTATTTGCAGATTTTGTATTCGCAGCTACAATACCTATTGTTGTCGATGATTATCAAACAGTGGTAATAAATAATAAATAATGCTATAATTTGTTATATGTTATTAATTATTTTATTAATAATATCTTTATTATTATGCACAGGGAGGAATAGTAGACACCCAATGGATTGTTCTAACAATAATGTACGTATTATTATTATTATTAAAATCTATCCGTATATCGATTATTATCAACACTCATACATGATAACCATAATTGATTAATTTTTACAGATCGTTCATATTTGGAATATTATTAACAGGATTTACAGCAGTACATACCAACCTATTAATTAATAATAAAACAACAATAGAAAATCTTTCATTTAAATCAAGAATTTATCATCTAAAAATATCGCTTAATATTGGTGATAGTGTCGCTGATGGTATTAATAGTAGCACTAGTAATTTTAGCAATAATAGCACAAATGAACGGATTTTTGTGAGTAGCAGACGCGGTGAAAATATATGGGACTTGGGATACTCGAGGAATTGGAAATCAGTGATGGGCGATAAATGGTGGCAATGGTTTTGTAAGTGGGATTTTTTAAATTTTTATTTATTGATTGATTGAATGTAATAAATAATAACGATACTTATTTATTTATTAAAAGTACCCATTGATAATAAATCGGGAGGTGATGGATTATCATATCCACTTAATCCAATAATACATCAAAGATTAATTGATGAATCAAAGAAACAAAATACTAGCAATAGCGATAGAAATAGCGATAGTAATAGTAATAATAGTAGGAATAAATTAGAAGATGATAAAGCAATTATTAATATTATTAATGCGAATCAAGATCAACAACGAACATTTTCAAATAATATTAATGGCGATTATTTGATTGGTGTTGGTAACAGTAATAATAATGATGATAATAATAATATAGGTGGTAGCAGTAGCAATAGCAATAGTAATGATATTAATAATGTTAATAGCTATATTAGTAGTAATAGTGTTAATGATAATAATAAAATATAAAATTGCTATCAGCAAGTATCATTTTGAGTAATAGAAAATGACATTTTCCTGCTACAAATAAATTATTCCACTTCCCCGCAAAGACCTTTCACAATTTGATGTAACCATTTCTAACCAATATTATATATATATAAAAATTATTTATTATGTATAAACAAATGCACACGTAAATTGTCAAAATTTTGGACTATAACATAATAGTAATAATTAACAAATTTATCAAAAATAGATAAATAAATGATTACAACATTTTACCGTATATTAATACTAATTAAATAATTATATTTGCGTACATAATATGAATAAAGTCAACTTTCTTGAATTAGATAAATTTTTGTTCTGTTTTAGTTTGCTTGCTCAGATCGCGTTTAAAATATTCCAATATCGATTTTCATTTATCATTTTAGAGCAATTCATTGACTGACATACATCATCATACATATAAACATACAAACAAACAAATGAACTAACATATGAACTAACATATGTGTATGCAATATAATGAATACATTTATGATGGTGATAACATATAAATATTGGCAAAAAGAAGAAATGAATGGGTTTACGAATTAAAAAAAAATTTTAATTTCAAAAAAAAAAAAAAAAACCTTGTAAAGGTCTAGAGTTGGTAAATTTTTCTTTATTTAAAAAATGTTGTAAGTGAAGAACAAAGAATGAAACGTGTGGTAGATATGTGTGTGTGTGCGTGCGTGTATATATATATATATAAAGTGTATGAAATGAACATTTTTTACCATTAACAACAAATAAAAGACAAATTTATTTATAATTGAACAATTTTTTTTTAAAAAAAAATTCGACATTCTGGTAAAATGATTACGTACATACAACGCAAATAAATGTAAGAAGGCGAAGGCGAGTTCGATTGGACGAAGATGTCTTTTTATATCGGTTTTGAGTTAATATTTATATTTTGATGTGCAATTTACATTTTTACTATCATGCTCATTATGCTCACTTGGCTGAATCCTTTACAAAAAAAAAAAAAAAAACACCACACAAAATTCTGATTTTCTACACACGCACACACTTTTTTTCTATATATATATATATATATATATATGTATATGTTGAACTCGTCTTGACGTAATTTTGTTTGTGAACTTTTTTTGAGATGTTTTCACTCTTATAATACAAATTCAATCAATTTTATTTGATGAAATAAACTGTATATAATTCAAATTCTGATCCCAAGCATATGAAAAACACCAGATTATTATATATTTAGCATTCAAAACAAAACAAAAAAAAAATATTAATAAATTTACAAATAAATAAATAATAAATGAAAATGTCAAAAAAAAAAGTTTTTTGGAAGTTTGTGTATGGGCTCAGTAATAACAATAATCTATCTTATATAATAAAATAAAAACAAAGAACAATTTTAGATTTTTAAAAGATTGTTTGTATTATACAAAAATTTTTTTTTTTAAACGAAACACAAAAAAAATGTGGAAATAAATGGTAAGAGAAAAAAAGGAAAAAAAAAAAAATCCATCCTCTCGTGTGTGTAAAACAATCAATTTAATTAATTGTAAATGGTTTTTTGTATTGCATACACACACACCTAAAAAAAAGTTGTGGGACGTCATGAAAAAAAATATATAAACAATATGGAATGAAAAATGAGGGTACAAAATGGATATATGATATAGAAAGAAAGAAAGAAAGAAAGTATTTGTTTGTTTGTGTGTGTGTATATGCGTGTGTTTTATAAGTCAATTAAAAAATATAATAAATGTGGTAATTGAAAAAATGGGTGAGTAAAAAAAGTGAGCGCGCGTTTACTATTATTATGGTGATAACATTTTAGTAAAAAAATCGGAATATACAAATTCCAAATTCCCGTCCTGAGAATTTGTAAATTAAAATCGATTGATCTACGAAATAGAAAAAAATAAATTAAAGTTTGTAAATCATCCATTCATAATAATCTAAAAATTTATTTTACCAGTTGTTTTTATTTATTTATTAATTAATTTAAAATATTTTACATCGCATATTATATATTGTTTCTTGAATAACACACACACACACACTTGATTAATTAATCTTAATTGTTACCCACGTGCGATCAAATTTAGTAGATGGGATGGAATGAGAAAATGCATGTGTATGTGTGTATGTATGTGTGTAAGGATATATTAAATTATTGATTAGTTAATTTTTATCAAGTGAGTGACGCCAAAATAAAGGCGATGCTAATGGTTATTAATATTAATAATTGCAAAGGGTTCATCAATATTACTACGTTGTCGATCGTTTATTAAAGTCTACGTTTTTTGCTTTTTTGTCTTTGTTGTAATTATTTGTGATTAAGGATTGCCATCATTTGTAATCGTTTATGACCATTATAATCATACTATTATAAATATTGTTGAGGAATTGATTGGTTATTGTCTGTGAATTTCATATGATGCTGATGAATTTGATGGGTGGATGAATGAATGAACGAGTTAATATGACCAATTAAAGCTCAAATGACAGGTGAAGTAACACATCATTATATAAATATTTCAGTTTAGTAGAGTATGAATGATGTTATTTTTAAAAAACATTAATTGTGGATAAAGTGTTATATGTATCCCTGAAATATCAGGTTTATATGTATCCTTAGATCCCTCCACAAAAATGTCAAAAATTCACCTTCTTCATATATTAAAACGTAAATTGTAACGTCATTAAGCATAATTTTAATTTTATGACTCAATGATAATTGGTTTGTATCAGAAATAACATATGGAATAGCACCTGAAGAAATGATTGATTGCTGATATTAATAATGGTTAGTTGGTTAGTTTGAAATCGAATAATGTGATCATCATCAATCTTTAAATGAAGAAAAACAATTTTGTTTTTATTTATTTATATATTATTCATTTAATTTATAATTAGGGTAATAAAAATTAATAATTATTTCACAAATTTAACTAATTAAAGAAAAATAATAGATTTACTGATCCACAATTATATAATAATAATAATGTGATAAAACCATCAAGCATGTTTATGAAATTCTAAAAAAATATTAAAGAATTTTCACATTTAGTTTAGATTGCTTAACAAAATAATGAATGAATGAATGATAAAATAATGATATAATATGTATATTTATACAATGGGATCTGCAATTTAATTTCTATAAACGAAAGTAGATTTACAAGATTTACAAATTTTCACAATAGAAATTTGGTTATTTTATGTTCTACGCAAAAAAATAATTAATATTAAATGAATAAAATAAAAAAACAAATTCTTATTATTTTACACGTGTAAATTTAACACAAAATTGACAGGTACTTTACAAGCAATGACCAATAATAACAAAAATATTATTTTATTAACAATATAAAAATTGTTTCATATTATTTTCGAAAAAAAGAAAACCCATTTTGAAAAATAAAAAAAAATGAAATTTTTTGAAAAGATTAAAAAATATTTCCAACAATGTTTATTATTTTTATGATTGATGAATAATAATAAATCGAGCCAAAGATATTCGCTATTTATTTAATTTTTTCACTCTTTCATCATATTAATTTTATAATAAGACAATATAAAAAAAAACTTGATGACTATCACGCGCAAACATTAAAAAATTTGTGATCCACGCGTAATATTTCATTATCATCACAAGTATTTATTTACTTTTTTATTATAGATGAAAGATATTTTGGGGTTTTTGTATTAGAGTTATTATGTTTATGTAGATTCTATATATAAAATAATCACACAATTGTTCACTATTATGAAGTAAAATTACGAGTACGTGATGGATAACGGA